AGCATTACAGGGTGGTGCCACAGCTGTTCCCAAACCTATCCACTGTTAGTCAGGGTTACAGACAGAGCCTGTTCTTGTTTAGCTGAAAGTACTTATTTTAGAGCTCACACTCAGTTAAAAGCATTTGCTTTTCCTTGGCAAATTACAAATGTAACTATGACAACTTGGTGAGTGAATGATAGAAATCGTGCTAATTATAAAGGCTGGATTCKAAAATATCTGGGTCAACAATCAGAAGAAAAATGTAATGCAAAGCCACCCAGTTCGTACATTCACGATAAAAATCAGACTACTCAGTGAGATTTTACAGACCGGCCTCCTAACTTAAAGATGTTTATTTCAGATCAGTATTTCTTTGCAGTTCATTGATCCATTGGCTAGTTTTGTATTTCCTGAAAAAATGTTTCTCTCCCACTTAACATGACATTTTTCATTTCACACCCTGAAAAGGATACCAGCCCAAGAACACAATATATGGAGCTGTACAAATGGATTGTTACTTCAAACAAAGCAGAGATTTTGTGTGAAAACAAAAGGGCAAAGGGCATGAGCTGCAAGTCATGAAGTCAGCAGAAAGCACCTGAGCTGTGTGCACAGAGCCCAGCAGGCAGACACAGCCTGACACCAGTCTGGAGCCCCTAATCCAGTTTGAAGCTGGGCCTGTTGCTAGCTGGGTGCCATTCCCCCTCTCRCCATTCTGTCACCCGGCCTCAGCAGGAAAAACAACACCAATCACTATGTTTTTCTAACTACAGAGAAAACCAYRAAGCAGAGAAGTGCAGCAGAGCTTGAAGCCCAAAGAGTGAGAGTACAAGCAGTGCTTCCCTTACCTTCGATGCCCAGTCGGATCTTCTTGAGCCCCCTTTCCTTCAGAACTGATTTGGCCACGTCTCTGTTTTCAATGTATTTGAAGAATCTATACAACTTCGTGCTGTAAATAACTAAAAATACATTTTAATGAGAAAAAAAACCCTTCTGTATTCAATATTAAACTTCTAGCCTTGAAACATGAAGGTTTATCTTTTCCACTGTTTTGATTTACTACAGTATTTCTATTTCAGAAGAGGGGGAGAGACTCAAGAACTCCTGAGAAAAACAGTTGAWGACATTGGGAAATGGGCTGGTTGTACATCTTGCAGGGAAATACACTCCATTTACAGGTGCTTAAACTCATTATACACACAGCTGTAATGCTCCAAAAATAACAGCACTTGTTTTTTTCCCAAATAAACTTTCTGGTTATTCTCCCACAGTAAACATGACACTCCTACCCATTTCCCTCAAGCGCTTTTGAAGAAGTATTTTCTTCTCCCCACTGGCTGACAATACCTTAATAATAAAAATTAGCTTCTCCTTTTAATTAGATTGGAACATAACAAGCTACGTGTGCTTCTGTGAAGGAAAATATTAAGCAGAACTCCCAAACCCAAGAGGTTTCTATTTTGTGAGGCATTAGGGATGTTGCAAAGACTTTGCTAATCTGTGCAACAATCTAAATCAGTACAGCCACWGCTACCCCTGYCATGGTGTGACTTGGTGGGAACAASRAAGATAAACTTACTTTGTGAATACTCCTCTCCCATCTGTGGGGGATACTCTTCATCCCAGTCAACAACATCATCATCTGTCAGCACAACAATGTGGCACTCCCTCTCCCCACTTTGGGCACTGGCAACCATTAATGGGAGAATCATTTCTTCCAGGTAAAACTCAAATTGTTTGCGAGCACCATCATTTGACAATTCATGCATGAGAGCACCTACAAGAAAAATTTAAGCATAGGCACAATTGAAAGGTTGGTAAATAGATGAAGGCAGCAAGAAGAAACAGTACATCTTTTTATCTTGTAGTATTACTGCAGAGAGATGCAAAGACACTTAGTCTGCATAAGTTCAGAACTTATTTGAGTATTTAGCAGAAGGTGAAACAGGCCTGCCCTGCAGATATTAACACAGCCTTGGGCAGCCAGAGGAGTGACTTGAAGGAAATCTCCTCAGTGCTTTACTACTGCTAAACATTGTTATTGCGTGAGACCGCTCTTGGTTTTCCTAAAAGCASCATTATTTCAGCCAGCTGCTGGAAGGGCAGAGCACACAACCCCTGTTTCATAAGCAGGAGCTTAAAACCAAAGCTTCTCAAAGCCCTGACAGCAGGAGCTGCTAAATCTCCCTGCTGAGGACAGAGTGCTGCAGGCAGCCCTGCTGGGAAGGCACGGGAGTCCTGCACAGATTCCCAGCAGGAATGGCACAGGCTGGCCCTGCACTGCACACACTGAGAGCACAACAAGCAGGGACAAGGCCAACACTGCCTGTGCTCCTAAGCAAAGAGCTGAAGAAATTACCCTCTCTGTCCTCTGTAAAAAACATACTGCTTAATGTTACTATAKCTGTAGTACAAATGCAATGATAGAGTTAAGTATTCCACAGGGTGATCACAGCAGAGAATCAGATACTGAAATATCAGACACATTATTTTTTTAAGAACATAAATCCGTTGGTTTTAGGGCTTTATTACATAAGAGACAAATGGATTTTGTTCATGTAGTGTCAGCCATCTTTATCTCCATAAAGGATATGATTTAGCATTAACACACACACACTCTTGCTTAGGTTAATCTGTATAATTTAAATGATTTGAATAAACTCTGTACTTACTCAGATCTCTGCATTTTATAGTACTATACTCAAAGGAGATACAGAGATAGTCACATGCTTCTCTCAATTCAGGAATAGAAATCCCATCAGGACAGCGTATCACTCCAGTCTTGTAGTAATCCTGCAGGAATGCACCAAGAAAAAACACAATGCACTTCAACATTCACCAACAGAAACATTTCAGCATTTCATTTGTGATGCCTTCTTCACAAAGAAAGCCCCCAAAATGTKAGACAGCAACATATGTTAAACTTTGAGAATCTTATTGTCCCCAAATTTATCAGTTTTCAGAGCTGCATTCAAAGCAGTGAGTTCTGTTAAAATTGTTATTTGACAACTGCTAATATTGATTAATTTTGCTGTCCTTTATCTATACTTCACTGAGCTCTTCCCATTCCAAGTCTGCTGACACAGCAGTGCAGCAGCTGTATTTACTTGTGTGGATATTAAACAAGGGACCATTTCCATCTCAGACTGAAGTTTGCTTCACTCCTGTTACCTGCAGAAAGTTAACTTCCAGTACTGTTTCACCCAATTTCAGCACTAGAAGGGCTGAATATATCTGAATTTGGTGAACTTAATGCATAGGAACAGGTCAACTAATTTCTGGCAGGCAGTAATTTTTGGTTTGTTCCACATGTACTTTCTCTCTCCCTGACTCACATGCTCATGGTGTCAGAAACAGGGGCTTCATTTCAAGCATTCTCCCCTCCCTACTAAACAATAGAAAGGGCAGTATCTATTCMATCCACAAAATCTAGATATGCAAGTAAGGTTAAATCAAGAGGTTTATATTTGTTAATACTTCTTAATAGTGCTTGTTCCAACAGCCCTTGCCCCTAAAAACTCACCAGAATAGCACGAAACACAGTGGAACCAATTCCTTCAGCAACTTCATACTCCCCTTTTTCATTGGGACGTGTAAAGTTGTGTTCTCTGCCTGATCCAAACATCCTGCTCAAGAATGAAAGCAACTTGGGTTAGAATTCCTTACTGTTGTTTTCTTGTTTGTAAATAAGAAAAATAAAATGTAAAAAATGTACAGAAACTGCAGGGAAAAAAACAGTGTATTCTGTTCTGTTTGGTTTATGTTTTTCACTTAATGATCTATTTTCTGACCTCTCTTCAGGACAAGAAATAATATTTAGAAAAAGGCAGTCTAATAGGATACAGGCTTAAGACAAGTAATACATTCTTATTATAGTTACTTTTACCTCCCAAGCTGCTCCTGCTTAGTGTCCTGCAAGCTGACTTTGAGGGAAAGTGGGTTATAAATAACCTGTGTGATAGAGCAGTATTTCCATATCTTTATTAACCTACTTTTCAATTAGCAGAAGATAAAATAAGCTTGTTCCTTGAACCAATCCCAAAGGGACAATAACTCAGCATCACACACGCACAAAAAATCCAGTGCATTAGGCAGCTCCACTTCCTCTGAGGCTGGCCATGGAAAAGGCAACTATTTCACTGCTTTATTTCAGCTGATACACTTCCAGTCTGTCTGGATATTTACATCTGTGCATTTATTGCATAATATCCAAGTGCTTTAAATCAATTATTTAATTCTATTGATTTTTACTTCCATTTATTTCCTTTGACAGTTCAGACAGGGAAGCATTTTTTGCCTTCTCTGTGACTCACCCAACTTTTCCCAAAACAGGGATCCAAGGTACAATATATTCCACATTGTGGTGTGGAAGAAACAGAGCACAAACTGTTTAATCACATTTATTCCCTGTACTGTGGCAAAGAGATTTTGCATATATGCATTTTAAATATGTTAATACATATATGCATTTTAAATATGTTCATATTCTTATATGCTGAGAAACGGCCACATTTTAATGAAAAAGCCAAATCCAAAGTGACACAAACAAACCTTCATTTATTTTCTTTCTTGATGCAAGATTTTAAGTGGTGCCCTCTATGTCTGGACAAGGCAAAGCCAATCAGAATTTGAGCAAATCAAATATAGMATCTTTTCCCACTCAGCAAACATGTTCTATATGCTGCTCATTGTAGTTTCTACAGAAAGCATGACACACATACTGTGGATGRTTTTGAGCATTCAGTCTCTCTGCTGAGAGGCTCAGCACTGTTACACTGATTATCTGACATTTCAGAAGATGAATGGGCTGAGCTTGAATRTTGTCAGGGTAGGCCCAATAAGCAAAATGAACACCTTCGAGATTTTCCTCCTTGCTTTTTGAAAGAGACTGTCTACCCTCACTATGCCACTTTGTTTTATGAAGCACCTAGCTTTAAAAAGAAGAGGAAGAATGAGACAGACTGAATMCAGAAGCAATGCCCAGGAAGAGAGAAGAAATTGGGAACATCGTGAAAAGTTTATCAGCTGTCATCTCTAGGTAATAGACATGTCTTGGCCTCCCTGCCAAAMCCAAAGGAGAGCTTTTTATTTAATCTGATTTTCACTCAGACATTGCAAACTGGCAATGTTAAACATTAGCAAGATCAGCTGCAGCAATACAAGTCCAACAGCTTTTAAAGAGTTTAAATATCCACAAAGTATTTATGGTTCTCTATAATAGTTAGGGACTAAGGAAAAGAAACAAAACCAAAAAAGATACCAACCTGCCCAACATTGTGTTAGGTTGTGCAGTGAAGATGGAAGGATCCACAACAAATCTGGTGTTGTCCACAATGAGCGTCACTCGCTCGGAAGTTCTGACATTCCGAGCTCCCTCTTTCACGTTTTCATACACAAACACCATTTCCCCAGCAGCCTTGCAGCTGCCATCTGAGCTGGACTGGCTGCTGTTCCTGCTGCTGGTGCCCATGCTGACAACAGAACCATTTGGGGAYGTCTTCTGGGGATGGGGGCTGCTGGGCCGAGATGAACTGTGATCCTTCTCACGATCTTTAGTGGGGAKGAGGTGGAAGGAGAAAAAACAGGACATGAAATTAGAAATTTAAATGAGTTCTATGAGGTTTGTGTCTTTCCAGGCACAAAACACATTCGTTTGAGAAGTACAAATTACTTTGGTTAAATCTATTCTGGTTAAGGACACCTTCAAAAATATCTGCACATAAATGAGATCCTGAAGTTTGCGTCACCTAGACATCAAAACCACCTCACCTTCCCCAGAAGTCTTTACAAGGAAAATTCAGCATTCTAGTACTGAAAAAGGAACCCAACACAATACAGAAGCTATTGCATCACAGTTAGTGCTACAGCCCAAAGAAACAAACCATGTTTTGTCACTTAAAAGAATCCCTATTTCCTCTATTTCCAAATATCTAAGCCTACAAAGTAAAGGGGAAGTGTTTACTTCATTGTGTTAGAAAAATTAGATTGTTCTTGTGATTTCAACTAAACAAGACCATTATGTAGGATTTCACACTGCAGACTAAAAATAAGTTACAGTCTATCGAAAAAAGGTATTTACTCCCGGCCCAGGGTACATGTAAGAAATCTGTATGCTGTGTCATCAACAAATAATGCTTTTTATTATATTTCTATAATGAAATAGTAGTCAAGTCTAAAGAATTTTAATCCTGAAATGGTAGAGATCCGCACACACCAGAATGATACTGTCTTGTTGGTGAAGTAACATTCCTGATGCACGGAGTGAGCTGAGATTCTGCTCTTTCATGGGAGGAGTCACGAGATCTGTCACTTGATCTGCGCCTGTCCCTTGATCTCTCGTGTCCACCACTTGCACCATGGAGGCTCATTTTGGTGTAGTCTATTCCTTTAGCAACACGGGATGAGGTGCTGAAAACAGAAATAAGTGAAATCTTCAGCATTTCAACATTTCAGAAAAACATTCTGTAATGTAAATTTTGTTTAAATTGTAAATTTTCAAGGTATTCACACTTCATGGACATGTTTCCAAGATCAGGATTATTCAGATCCATTTTCTTTGTTGCATTCCTGTTTATATTTACAARCAGGCACAAAGACTTGGAACACTCAGTAGACAGCAGAATAACCTGTTTGCTGCTCTATAATCTATAGAGACAGTGCCTGATGAGCTGAGCCTTCCTGTGAACCTCCAGTCACAAAAATCTCTTCCAGAACAGGGGAGTCAAATACAAATGAACATTTTATTTTGATTTTTACTGTTGAGTTGAATGTTCTAATCAAATAGATTAAATTAGAAGTTGGGGGTCAACTTTTCCCAAGTTTTGGCAAACCCTTCTCAGACCACAGGCTGACTTCACACTTTTCCTGCAACTTGCCCTTTCCAAAGGTAGTCAGCCTCAAACTAGTGGATACACCAAGACACACTAGCCAAGAGTTTATTTCTGCACATTCCTTTAAAAATKTTCAGTTAATCTCAGAAGGAACAATTGTAAGCCACCACAACCCAGACAGCAAACATATGAACTATATTATTAAAGCCAYGACCTACCAGACTGTCAGTAACAAGCAGAATATTGTTTTAAACCAGCACATTTTAATGCAGTAGTTTAGTACAATATAATGGAGAARATACTGGACTGTGACTAAGTTGTCACATTACTCAATTTAAGATATCAGTTACATTTTGCAATTATTAAACTAACCAAAAAAACTAATCCGTTTCAAGATTCAGAATTCCCTTAAAATTTAATATCAACTTGCAACAGCTATTGTTAAATTTACCAAAAATCCTTTATATCTTCTRTTTATACTCTTTAAAAGAGAAAAAKGTATGTCTGGATAGCACAGACATGTCTGTGTCCCTGCACCCCACCAGAATTTCCAAAGCAGTTCTTTTGCTATTTACCTTTCAAGTGTGGGCATGACAACACTCCTTTATTTMTGGGTTAACTGAAGAAATTCCCAAAGCCTCAGGTACTGGATAACCCAGACAGACATCTGCACAGCYACAAGGTCTGACAGACAAAGCAGAGCCATAATTTCCCAGAGGAACCTCAATGCCCCACTTGCTTGCAGGCTGCAAACCCTGTAACTCTTACCAAGAGACCTTMAATAATGACTGCAGGAATGCTGTAGGATTCAAGAACACAGAGTGATGACCTAGCTAAGAAAAGCACAACAAATATAAAAGCATTCACTGGACAAGCAGGTTGAGCTGAGTGTCCTCTTTTTAAGCCTCTTACAAGTAATGACAGGAAAAAAAAAATCAAGGCTATTCCATTAGCATGAGATGTTGCAGTTTCAGGTTTCAGKGATTGATAAGAAGAGGAGCTTAGCTCAGAACAAAAAGCTGTGACAGATGAGTGTTTAGCACAAGGCAAGGAATCAGAAATGTACCTTCACTAAGGCATACAAACCTCTACCCACCCTGTCTGAATGAGAGCAGGATCTTGTGTCCCACAAAGCACAAGTTTGCTGCAGAGGGAATCTACTGCAATCCTCTTTCCTGCCAAGCTTAAAATATGCTGCAGTAAGAAATGCATCTTTGGGAAGTGGAGTCAGCCAAAGGTCTATTGAATAAGGGAAAAGAACTGCAAGCCTTGTTCCTGCCTCAAAACGCTCMGATTTACAGTCCAAGAATAATGATCCAAGCACTTCCATTAAAAGGAAATTTCCTCAGGATTTCCAAYGCAATTCTGAAGATACTAAGATTTACAATATTTCAGCGTGGCTAACATACCTCCTTACTTTTTTTACCTCTCTATTAGAGAAAGGTAAATTCTTCATTTTGAAAGTGAAAYGTGCAAAAGTTTGCAAGAGTGAGATCTGCAAACCTCCCTTTCAAAAACATTAACAATTTAGGAAAACTTTTGCACCTTTCCTTTGAGACAGATATATACATACATAATCTAACCATTTTAATAGGTACAAAATATGGCCTTAAATTATCAGAAATATGGATTTCAGTCTCTAACTCAAGACCAAAGTCTGCCCCCTGTTTAAACATGACAATATTCATTACTACTAAGGCTAAACTTCCCAAGAAATTTGTCAATTTTTTTTTTTTAAAGAACCTCTGTATCTCATCTGTGCATTCATATTTGCATGCTATGRTATAATCAAGGATCCCACAAAAGGGGGTTTTTATGTGTAGAGTACTCAAACACCTACATAGCAGTCTGGTGACAAAACATCTCTGTAAATCCCAATAAAGCCTCATGTGATCAGGCCTCTGTTGAAGCTTTGATCCTAGACCTGATAGCATTTCCAACCATGCTGTTGAGAAAACAGAATTTTGCAGGTGTCACATTTTATAGTATCAAAATGCATGACTCACTTTCTCAGTAACTRAAGAGCTCTATTTGCTTTAAATAAGGAAAACACACTAGAAAATGAAACTGAACCACTGTAATGGGATGCAGGCTTATCRCACATTTTGGCAGAGCAAACACGAATTTCCCTTTAACAGAGAAGACAATTAAAATGTGATTTTTAATCCAGAAAGCCATCTAAAGGCACATTAGYCTGTAAGCAGTGATTCACAGAGAAGCAGGGCAAACCCTAGTTAATAATCCCATGCCAGAGCTGATAAAACAGGTGCTACAGGAAGCAGCACTGACTCAGCTGGCACCACGCTTCCTCTGAGCCTGCCCCAAGCAAGGACCATGGCAGGCAGGGCTGGACCTCCACAATGGCAACCAGGGCTATTTTGCACCTCTGCCARCAGTCAGCAAGCCTGGCAGGAGAGGGGCACTGCTCAGGGATTATCTGTCCTGCTCCTGCTGCCAGCCACAGCCATCCCTGCCCAGCCTGGGCTATCAATTCAGCTCAGCACACCAATGAGGAGACGCAGAGGCTGCCAGCTGGAGCAGGACATGATCCTTGGTTAGTAAATCAACTGCTTCTGAAAAAGGAYAGATTAGTAAGTAATTTCAAAGGGCTCTTCAAATTGAGCTGGCCACAGCACTCGTTTGCTTCTATGTTGTACTTTGCACCTGTAATGCAGAGATTAATGCTGTGAGACTGACACATCATCTATTCACAAGATGCAAGCCAAAATTACAAGATTTCTGAGAATTCAAGCAGTTTGACTTGTGAAAGCACTGGCTGAATCATGAATCTTCATTCATCTTAGTGACAGCCATCCAAAATATCAATCTTAAACCTCATCACTGTTGAGTCACAGTTCACAAAAATATTCCTTTGATCTGTTGGATATGTACCTGACAAACTTGAAGTTCCRTGTGTTCAATAGCACGAGCATTCAGATCAATGCCTCCTCTGAAATACAACTTTGCCCTACAATGAACAAGACTAACATGAGTTTACATCTGAACAAAGAAAATRCAGAGGTGGAGCTTAGCATGTCAGAAGAGACAGGCACTGGGTTTACCCTGTAATACCTGACCAGGAAAGTTGTGTCACTGAGCTACTCGATCGTTACTCTGAAAAAGGAGCTACATGAAAGRAGGCYTGTGACTTCTATTTTCCTGTAAAGAGGATTTAGAAGAAGTTGCAGATATTCWAAGAAAAAGGAAGAGGTTAGAACTACCATGTAATTTTGATTTGACAAAAGGACTTGTTTGTCATATCCTGTTTCTCCCCTCTAACAAAGCCAGTGGGACCAGGAGGYTGATTCTGCAGGGAATGCACAAACCCTTCACTGCACATCAGCAATGCGAGGGACAAAGGACAAACCTGTCCCCAGTGCTGAAGGCAACACAAATTGCCATTCACTGGGGAGCTGCACAGCTCTGTTGTTGCAGCTTCCTACCTAGCTACACCAATGGACACAGAACTGACCAAAGCACAGCTGCCCCATTTGAAGAACACGCAAACAGGAAATCTCGTGGTCCACAGGAGCTCCACACAGACCAGACACCATCAGGATTTATCTGACAGCAGYGAAACGCTGAGAGTTCTAAGTGCCAGGAAGCCATGGCTGCCACACTGTATTCACCTGTAATCTCAGCACCCAGCAGAGCCTGCACAGAGCTTTATTTCAAACCTCCAACAAAGAGATCTGAAACTACAATGACAATCTCACCCCAAAAAGSAGTGTTTGCAAAGTCAACTTTCAAYTGATTCCCCAGCTGATCACCAACAGTTGCACTCTGGGCTGTAGAAGCCATAAGGCACAGCACCAACCCATAATCACAATTTTCTCCTACATGCCTAATGACACCCTGCATTTAATTTAAAAGCACGAGAGATGAAAAGAAACAAAGAAAACAACATTTTGAACCCCCATTCCTTCAGTCAGTAAAGCTGGGAAAAAACCCATATATATGAGACTGCCTAGTAACCAAAAGTTTATAAAAGGGAAGAACATCTTGCTTTATCAATTACTTTCCTACAGGGAAAAAAACCCAAAAAGCCCCCAAATAAACAAATCCAAACCAAAACAACCTCATGAATATTCATGTACTTTGGCAAGATTCACAAATTCAATATGCATTTTTCCCTGGCTTCAAAAGAATATTGGAACATGTGCACTACACCCATTCAAGAACTTTAAGTCAGTGATAGAAATTATTTTTCCCCTCAGACATGGATCAAAAAAGCTCTGTCTTTGCAAAGGAATGAGGCATTTTCTTTAAAAGCAGCTGCCTTCATGAAGAAAACCAAATAAGCTCAAGATTWTATTTAAGCAAATCTATTTAATATGATGTGAAGAAGGGAAAAAAAAAAAGTACCATCAAAATGGCAACTTGTCATACTGGTAATGCTTCCTATTTTTGTAGYAAGGAAAGAGCTGTTTTTAAAAATGTAAATGCTCTTCAATTAAAKGATGCTTTGGAGTCATCTGTGGAAGAAGAGCTTCAGTTTGTCTTTATACATAACAACAGATTGCTTTGAATATATTACTAATTATTAAAAGAAGTCATTAGACTGAATTAATTCTACTG